TCAAAATAACAGAACATCAGAAGATGTGTGGTATCAACAACTCAGACATCTTCAAAATAAAGTAGTATGTTACTTAAAATTTAAACAATTGATCAATGTTGATGCATGAAATAAATTTCATTATGTTTATGCTAGTTGTTAGATGGGAAAAAGTTATAAACTAAAGTTATAAACTCTCATTTAGTAGTACTAATAAGACCTCTACATAACTTCTTTTCAAAATTCACTAAGATTTATGGGGTCTTCCTCCAGTTTTATTTAAACAGATTTATCGCTTTTATGTAGTGTTTGTGGATATTATACTCGCTTTTTTTGGATTTATCCCTTAAAAGAAAATTGAATTTTTTCTCTACATATGTGAAATTTCATCGTATGGTTGCAAGGAGATATGATAAACGAATTCAAATTTTTCAATGTGATGGAGGTTATAAGTTTGCTAATAAAGAATTCATTGCTCATCTTACTAGTAATCGAATTGTGCAACAAATATTATGTCCGGGAACCCCTAAATAAAATGGAATAGTTAAAAGCAAACATAGAATTATTGTAGAATTGGATCTTACAACGATGTTTCATGCAAGAATTCCTAAACGATTTTGGGTTGGAGCATTCCATATGTAGTATTTGTAACAAAATTTAAGTCCCTCGGCCAATTTGCAAATGTTTTTCACCATATTCTTTGTTGTTTGGCCACCTACCAGACTATTCTTCAATCCAAGTTTTTGGTTGTCAGTGTTTTACGTACCTTCGAGACTATGCTGTAGATAAATTCTATCATCGTTCTCTTCCATATGTATTTTTGAGTTACATTATGTCACACATCCATCCACAGGGCAAGTCCATATCTTTAGACATATTGTATTTGATGAAAATATTCTTTCATGTGCTAAATTTCTTTGTTTGATAGTGCACATGCTCAAGGGGAGCGCACTACTTATGAAAAATGGTCTGTTATGAATATGACATACAAATTTATTTTTCTGATCCATTACCTCTACATAGACCGCCCATAAGGGATGACAAGATGTGTTTTCTCCTCTACTTGATTTGCCTTTCAATAATGGTCGGTCTTATAAAGGAAGATGCCACCACTATGACATCAATACAAGATGTCTAAGATGATGTAGCACATAAAATGATGTCATGCAAAAAACTAACCAATCTAATTTTTCACGAGCCCCTGAGCGCTCTTGTTATCACATGGTCACAAGAACTCAAGATGGTACTCGAAAACCTCAAATTCTACCATCCATGGCAGCAGTCTCAAATGCTCTTACTTTTGAAACTCTGCTTTTAAAACTTTTGAAAATGTCCTTTTAAAACTTTTGAAACTATCCATTAGAACCTAGACCATCAAGTCTGCCTTGGGTTATCCGGACTAGCATCATGCAATGAAAGAGGAAATTGAAGCTGTACATGTTAATTCAACTTGGGAGTTATTTTCTTGTCTTCCAGGTATGAATGTTGGTTGTCATTGAGTCTATAAGAGTAAACTAAAATTTGATGGTAGTCGAAAGAGACTTAAAGCCAGATTAATTGCTAAATGATTAATTAGGTTGTTGGAGTTGATTTATCTGAAACATTTAGTCTTGTTATTAATCCTGCTAGTATTCGAATTGTGCTCACCATAACTATTGTTCATCACTAGCCTATCAAACAGCTTGATGTGAAAAATGCTTTTTTGCATGGCTTTCTTAAGGAACCTGTAATTGTGGAACAACCTCCTGGTTTTATTAGCTCAGAATATCCAAATCATATCTACAAATTAAAAAGGGCTATATGATCTTAAGCAAGCACCTCGGGCCTAGTTTGATTGATTTAGTGCGTATTTATTATCATTAGGGTTTTATTACAATGTAGCTTATTCATCTCTATTTGTTTGTCGCACTACTCACTCAAGCCATCATTGTCCTTCTCCTCTATGCTGATGATATTATTGGTACAAGAGATAATTCAAATCTCCTGGAATGATTTATTTCTCAACTTAGAAAAGAATTTGCAACGAAAAATCTTGAACCTCTTTACTGTTTTATTAGCATAGAGGTATCTTATTTTTTTGGTGAAATCCTTTTGTCATAAAGCAAATGTGCTTGAGATCTTCTTGCCCACGTCCAGATACTAGGTGCCAAACCTATTTCAACACCAATGGTAATGAAGAATAATGTTCAAGGGAATTCTTATTTGTTCTTGATCCATCTCTTTATGAAAGCATTGTTAGTGCACTCCAATACATCACCATAACACAGACTGCCCTTTCCTATAGTGCTAATACAGTATGTCAATTTATTTATGCCCTACAATTGCACATTTTTAAGTAGTTGAGCGAATTCTTTAGTATCGCAATGATACACAGTCTTATGTTATAAAAATCTTACCTGTTAATTCCTTTGAGTTATATGCCTTCTCCAATGCCGACTAGGCTGAGTCTCCAAACACTCGATGTTCAACCACTGGTTTCTGCACCTATCTTGTTTCCAACTGCATATCTTGGAGTACTAAGAAACAGTCACTTGTGGCTCGTTTAAGTGTTGAAGCTGAATACCGATCTATGGCATCCACTGTTGCAGAATTGACATGATTTTCTTTTATTCTTCGAACATTAGGGTGCCACTTTCTCGGCCACCAACACTTTTTTGTGACAATATGAGTGCTCTCCACATGACAGTTAATCGTATTTTTCATGCTACGGCAAAACACATTGAAAAATGTTAGTCTTGGATTACTTGCTACTTAGTTTGTTTCCTTGCTTAATTAAGTCATTGAATCTCTTCATTGCCCCAAGATGGTTTCAAGATCTTTGCTTCAAACTCGAATTCAAATGCCTCCCCAGCAGAGTTTGAGGAGGATTAATAAAAACAAAATTCAATAATCCTAGTTTTGGAATGGAAACAATTGAAATATTACTCTTTCCTTTTGAGAGAATGTAACAAGATAGGAATGTGTATATTATATTTAACAAGATAGGAAAGTGTCAATTATATCATATAGGAATGTGTATATTATATTCAACAAGATAGGAAAGTGTCAATTACACTATTGTATCACTATTATACATAAAATGAAAAAACCACCACAATGTTAGTGTAGGGTACAACTACTTTTTCAAAAAGTTCATCTCTCTCTCTCTCTCTCTCAAATTCTTCTCACGAAGCACAATAAGAAACCAACTAATAAGAGAGTGGGTTGAAAGTAAGACTATATAACCTGGGCAAGTGTATATCGATTAAAATGTTTCCGTTTTTTCTTTGTTTTCACCACCCATATTACTTACAGTTGTCCAAATGCATTATGAGAAACAATAAAAACATAAAGAATCCCAATGACTCTCATTTGCTGTCATTTTAACCATTCTTTATTACACAACAAAATGGCATAAACTTAATCTTTTGGAGCATGAAACACATAGCTACATAAATAGAAAACAAATTACAAGAAAATTACATCAACTGGACTTTGCACACCCCACTCCAAGTCTCCTCTTCCAATGGTGAATGAGATCAACGTCTTTCTCAGATCTTTAAAGTATGGGAAACCTCAAACTGTCAACCCTTTCAAATAAGAGAGCAATAGTAGAACCATGGGCTAGGTCTCAATCGGAGTATGGTAAGTTAGGTCTCAATACCTAGTACAATAGCGAGGTCTCAGTACCTACGCTTGATAGATAACTATATTTTAGAGACGCTAGAGAAATAGGGGATCAAAAGAGAGAGAGAGAGAGAGAGAGAGAGAAGTAGGGGTCAAAAGAGAGAGAGAGAAGGTGGTGTGCTACCTTGTGAGGGAGAGAGAGAGCTCAAGGTCTAGAGAATAGGAACCCCATAGGGCCTATTTATAGACTGTACCTAAGTTTAGGATTTTTTAAGGTTAATCATTTTTATGGAGAATAGATCTAGATCATTGATCATAGAAGACCTTTGGGGTGAGAGATCTTAACCATACAATCCTTAAATCAACCATCATGATTAAAAGAAATGTGTTAGAGCCTTATCGTTCAACTTCATTAACCTAATCCCATCAAATAAAATTGATATGAAAAATATATTATACTTTTCTATCTCTTTCATAAATCTCTTATACATGCTCTTTATTTTGAAAATCATTCATCTTAATTTTCAAAACTTTCTTATTTTCACTCAACTGATTAAGTGGCTTAATTTGGTGGCTACAAAATAAGGAAGAGTGCACTAAGTGGGGCATGCCTCTCATGGCCCCATGCACTAACCACATGTGTAAATTATAGTGGGTCCCCATATAAATTATGATTTATAAAATTTATAAAAATGATTTTTAAAAAAATGGTAAATATATTATTTTCCTTTTTAATATTTAAAATATTGAAAATTCAATTTATCTCTATTTATAAATCTATTTTGTAACAGTAAAATATCTAGAGACTTCTAAAATTTTATTTTATAAATCTAAAAATCATTTAAGATCAAAATAATTAATTCTAAATTAATTTGATGAATTTAGATCCAACTAAGTTTCAAAATTATAAATTGCTTAGGGGTTTGGGCTAGGTCAGGTTTATCCAGGCCCTGCCAGGCATTGTACCAACCCTACTCCAATTGACGGTTTATGTCCATTTCACTTTTTTTAATGTAGGTTGGGTCTGAAGAAAAGTTCTACTTTCCTTTATTCATGAATACCAATAAAAACAGATTGGTACTTAATAATGAATGTGCCCTAGAAAGGGGAAGGAGAGTTTTTTTTTTTAAGAAAGGAAAGGAGAGAGTTCTTATGCCTAGTAAGGGACGTTAATAGATTGTAGGTAACCTGGAGGATGGGGCCATGGAAGGTGAAGGGTGAGGTCGATAAGCCTGATAAGGGTTCGATTGGAGGAGGCGTCATGCTGTTGCGTTGTATGAACCCCTTTGTCATACGATAGGAACTCCCCACCCATATGCTTGTCATATACAGGAACTCTCTCTCTCTGCACTGATACTCCTGATTCATGCCTTTATCCGGCAACTAAACTGGCCGTCACCATCAATTCTCAGGTAGACCAAAAAGCCCCAATCAGGCAATTCTTGAATTATTGGATTAACCATGAATGGGAGATCATATCATAGATGTCGCAGAAAATGATGAAGAAAAATGCACATGCTACAAAGCACAAAGTCTTCAATTAAAAGTAGTAAACTAACAGCAAGGACATGCCTGAAAAATGGATCTAGGCTATTAGATACAAGTTTTAAGTTGGGGACCATTTTGGTACAAAAGAAGAAAACAGCCAATGTGAAGCGAACGACGAAGTCTCCCCCAATAAGAAGCAAATGATTCTCACTCTATAGACAAATAGAGTATCAGGCACAGGCGTTCAATGCAGGTGGTAGCTTCCTTGTTTATGAAAGTGTAGTGGAACCATTTTCTGCAACAAGGTAAGATGTTGAGAGTCCGTTTATGATAAAAGAACACATAACAATAGAAGAAGATGATCCTTTCAAGTTGGGATCCAAAATTATTCATGAATTTGTTAATCACATTACCCCCATCCTGACAAGGAAATAACTAAAAGTATCAAGACAAGCCACAGCTTACATCCTCCTGCATGTCGCAAATTCATTATCTTTTTCCATAACCCAAAGTATGTAGAAAGAACTCAAATGTGGGATAAAGACCTGTAACACCTGGCCTACCCCCAGGCACACACATGAGGGAGAGGTGGGGGCGTAGAGTGTTCACTAAGAGTTCACTAAGAGTTCTAGAATACTATTAAAGTTGGGCACTTGTGTTCCGAGAATCGCCTTGGCCAAGGTACTTGGCCCTTGGTCGAGACAAGTAAATCCTTGCACACAAGCCCAAAAAAAAGGCTAGAAAAAATGTACATAAAATTAGAATAAGTCAAAAATAAGGAAAAACATGAAAGAAGTAGTAAAAAAGATCAAAAGACATGGATTATTGAAATTTTTATTTAAATCTTTGAGTATTTC